ATTTTGGCTAAATGAGTTTATGGGAATCCCTTAGTAACTTGAGAGGAGTATAATATGATATTTAGGCAATTGTTTTAATTATTCCACAATTAGTTTTCAGTTACGGTCACAACTTTTATTCGTTATGCTTTATTATTGTTTTAAATGCTCGCGTAATGAAAAGGAAAAAGTTTACTCGCATTTTTATAAATGAATTGTTGTGATTGTAACTGCGCTTAATATCATAATCAATGTTAGCAATACCGGTGTACAATGTGCTGTTACACTAGAAACCTTCGAAGATTTCATGAAGCAAGAGAAGAAAACTTGAATTTACGATGAGGTAAGAGAAAAATAAGAAATGAGAAGGGGGGAAGTTAAAAAATGAATTGTAACTGCAGAAAGCGCAAAGAGCAAAAGGCAGGGGCAAAAATGCAAATTTGCTTCTAATATAATGATTAGATAGATGAAGAGATGGGCACATTAAATGCGCACGAAACACGAAGACGCATATGGCTGTTTTATCATGTTATTCCAATCAGAAGCTGTCAGGTGTAAAGTTGTCATCATCATACAAAGATTCCTATCTCGGATTCATGATCCTTGAGAAAAGAGGAAATTAATATATAAACTTTAGAATTGATTATTTACTCGGTTCATTTGAGGTTAAAACATAATAAATTATGTAACGACCAAGAATTGAGGTTAACTCAGAACAAAAGAAGTTCACGAGCAAAGGAAATTTAAGTTATGGGGTAAAAAATGTGTTGCATCCCGAATTTCTAATATATCGGCCTAAGAGACAAGCAGGTAGTCTCATGAAACAAATATTTAATGGTAAAGTCAATAGAGTGGATACAATAACAATTGTTATGCTACTAACTTCAAATAAAGATCAGGTGATATCACAATAAAACTACCAGATGTAAAGAAAACCCAGATTCTCATCTAGTTTCAAGCTATAATTTAGAGGTCTTGGGAGTAAAATCGAGTTTCTAAGAGGCCCATATAATGTGAAGCCCAATAATGGGCAATAGAAAAAGGAAACTAATATAATTAAAGGAGAGTATCTATCTAAGATGCTAATCCTAATAGGATAGCATTAAACTTGGGCTTGGGCTTTCTAAAGGAGGCACTAAAAGTCCAAAATTTCAATACTCACTGGTTAATCTTATAAATAAAAGGTAAAGTCTACAGGTATGACACTTTCTTTCTCTCTACTGTATGTTGTCACTGTGTACACACATCACCCCTTTGGCAAAAGCCATTACTATTCATGCACAGTGATCTGTCATATTCTAAGATATCTAATCTATAGATATCTTAGAAGACACTTTGATCCAAGAGTAATTTACTAGTCTTTTGACAAAGAGAGAGAGACAAATAGTAGCATGTTATTTTTTTTTTTATATTGATATGTTATATAGTGTGCTTTCTATTAATTTGTATTGAGGATGATTGGTCATTTAAGTGTTTTAATGATCTTTTTCTTTTTCTTCATATTTTGTTAACACAATTCTCGTTCATATCATGGTTTAGTAATGTTTGATCCTAAAGAATCGAGATGTCTAACTGGTGGTTGGTAATTGTATCTAGGATTTGTTCTCTCACGGAGTCTATAGAAGAGATGCCGCAGAGGGTAGCAAATCACTGTGCATAATAATAATGACATATAGCCGAAAGCATGGAATGTGTGCACAGTGACAACTAAGAGAGCACAGAGTTCAAAATGTGTACCTCGTAGGGTAACTTAACTTCTTATTTATAGATAGTTACCTAATAGGAGTGGAATTCTGGACCTCTCAGGAATATTAGGGCCAATTCTTGACCCACTAGTGATATGATAAGATTGATATCTTATCTTGCAAGATTATTTCCATATCTCTCTTAGATGCTTATCTTTGGGGCCCTATAAGTTGGGTCATAATAGTTGCCCCCCAGTTCGACAGTCTTAGCATTCAAGCTACCAGGCTATAATATTTTTCTTGCACCTCGACCACGCTACGGTCCATTCATTCTGAGGATCCCATCTAGTTGTATAGGCAAGTTATATTACTTTTCTTGTGCCTCGGACACATCTAGGTCCGTCCTTAGTTAACGTATGCTCAGTGTTCTTGAGTCTCCTTGCATGCCTTCCTTTTGCAAATGGCCCCTTAGTGTGGTGTGACGAGGTTTGAGCTTCGCGTCAGGCTGTGGGTCCCGCAGCTGGGTTACTTACAGCCTTGTTGGCGCCTCACCAATTTGGGGCATTTGGACTTGGTATAGTCCTGCGTTATTCCACAGATCAGTCGAACGTGGTTTGGATCAGATTGTTTGTCCCTCATGGGATGCATCTTTTATTAAGTTGTTAGGGCTCGCCAAATGGCCTTATGCCTTTTTTTTGCATTTTGTTATACTGATCATTCGAACCCAGCTTGTTTTACCGAGGTGTATAGTATCTGCGGGGGCGGCAATTTTGCCCTGACCCTAGTTGGTACCTCTTTGAGGGAACTTGTGGGGTGCAGACTCGTGGCCTAGGCATTGGATAAAGTTGTTTAGCTGACATGCATTATCGTGGGCCTTCGTTGACTGGACCCGGCTTTTTTTCTAAGGTCTTGGCAATTTATTTTTTAATTTCTTGCTTTGACGTGTCTTTTACAAGTTGCTTTGGTTTGGCGTGTGTCCTGGAGCCAGTTTGGCATTTTGAAGATGTTGTATTTAGCATCTCGGCTTAACTTGTTGTAGTGTTTTTCGGTTCTCGAGGGGGCTCGTTTGTTTGCCTTGATCCTCGTTTGTACTCTTACAAAGGTATTTTTGTTACTTGGCTGGCACGTGCTATCATGGGCCTTTCGTAAATGGACTTGGCTTATTGGCCGATGTATTGGATTGCGATCTAGCTAATAACAACAGAATCTATCGTTGTCTCTTTAGCTTGCCATATATCTTTAATGTTGCTTCTAGAAGTTGCGAATCCATTGGATGGGTCTAGAACATTTGCCTCTAGTTTGGCAGTCTGAGAGCTCAAGCTGTTGTGCTGCAATGCTGCTACTTTGTTGGACCTGGGGATGTAAACCAGGACTATGACGAGTCTCGTAGGTTTGTGAGCCCTTTTTAAGGTATAAAATATGACCATATAGTGGTCTTCTTTCATTGGTCGGTGTATGAATGATGTGTTTTCATCGTGCTTGATGGCCCTTTGTATCACCTTTGGATGCTTAATTGAAGATTGATTCGATGTATGTCTCTAGTCAGGCGTAGGAGCCTGCTAGGATCACACTCAGATGCTTCGGTTCTTTTGAATTTCTAACTAAAGTATGTCCGGTGTTTCCCTTTAGTAGGGCATAGGAGCATGTTAGGATTACACTCAAATGTTTCAAGTCTTCCTTGAAACTTAGATCCATGATAGGTCGCTCTAGCTCATATCGTGATTGTCACTCTGACCAGGACCATGGTAGGTCTCTTTGGCCGGGATCGTGGTAGGTCACTCTGACCGGTACCATGGTTGGTTGTTGGGGTAGAGGTGTTTGTACATTGAAGGTGCAATTTCACGTGTTGTAATGGACTTCCTATAGCATACAAGTTTGCAACAAATATTGTTAGGTAACTAATGATAAGTAACTGAGGGTGAGGCCCTTTTTTTGATGTCAGTCCCTTAGCACTCAGTCAAGGAAAACTCATTCGTTCCCAAGAATAATGACCAATTGCACAAGTGCACACATCAAGCAATAAATGAGATTTATATGTCCAGGTTATCATTTCCTCGAAGAAAGTATTGCTAATATGAATTTTAAGCTATGTTAATGAATGTGAAGAATAAAGTAAGCAGTATTGAACTTAAAATAATGACAAGTGGTTCAGTTTAACTTAAAATAATTCCTCTCATTGTTATATATTTTAGTCCTTCCTTAATTCAAGGAGGAACAACAAATCATAGGAATCAATAGTTGTGATGTGATGTGATTTTAAACTAAAGAAATACAAAAAATAAAGTGAGCAATAGCTAGGAACAACACGAGTGATATATGTTAAGCGGAACAACAGTTAAAAGAAAATGAATGGATACACTGATCCACTGTTAAACCAGCTATATTCTAGACTCAAGTTCTCGTCCAAAGGACTTGTCCAGGTCTCTTCATTGCCAATGCTGATTCCCCAAACTTTTGGGCTAAATGGTATGCAAAATCCCATATTCCTCTGGCGATTTCACCCTTAATAGTTACTCAGGGAAGAACCTTTAATGAACGAAGGGGTTCCTTTCTCAATCATGTTCAAGTTTCGTTGATACAAAATGCTAAAATGCTCAAACAACATAAATTTGATGAACTTAATAACAAGATATTGGATTATAGACATTTAATAGTTTCACAATTTTTTCATTTCAAAAGAAATTAGCTCGTGTTCAAAGACATGATTGAAAATACAATTATAATCTTAAGAATCTGAAATTGAGTATGTGTTTGTATATATAGAGAGACTGTATGTTCAGATGATAAGAATTTATCTTCATTATTTAACTTAAAATTGAGTGGTCAAACTCCCGCACTAGGGACAGGGGTAAGTTGATTTCCTCGAGGCTTCCCTACCCCGATATTGACTTCTTGGATGTATTTTTTTATTTGGGCTTGGGCCACTTATTTAAAGAAGAAATTTGGGGAAAAAAATCTTAACTCATTCCAAAGTTACCTCAGGATAATATTCATTTCCTTTTGCATAAATGGATTTTATAATCACAGTATGTTCCTCACTGGGTACCTACCGAAAATCTATCTCTCATTCTTTGTCTAATTTTTTTTTCTTTCCCACTTTTTTACCATGATTTTCTATTCCAAAGTAAAAATACTCAACAATTGCGCGTCGTTTTTTGAATGCACGGTTTAGGTAGGACAAATATATCTTGTCAAAATGAATATCTTTTCCTTGGCTTAATTAGCAGTTTCCTAAGCACTCTACTTTATTTTAAGAATAAACAGATTATCAGCAAATTCAAGACGACACAAAATTTTATTTAATAAAAACAATGTTTAGCAATGTGAACAACTGAATATAAGAATTATAGTAGACTAATTATCATAATTCCCACATAAATAATTTTATTACACATTTGAGAACATATATCACATATAATTACTAGCCAAGGTACGACACAATACTCCTATTTTATTTTTCGACAACATAACATTTCCTAGTTGAATACTAGAAAAATAAAGCAAACAAACAGCCATAACAAGTAGGAGTCTAGGACAATCTTTTTAAGAAACCAGAAACATAAACAGTAGAAGCAAGCTTCTTGGTCATGCTTTTCTAGTCAATGATATGGTGATGTTGGTGAACTCTGTTTTCTCCTTGGACATACGATCAGTCAAGATTTCTTGGTAGCGGCTAAAAACCTCATCAATGATAGCTTCACCAAAGTGGCTAACCAACAGAGGTTCAGCCACAGCCCTCATTAACTGTGCGACATTGTATCCACCATCACTGAGTGATTCTGATATTTCAGATTCAAAGTCAAAAACGTTCCAGTTATAAAAAGGGTTCCAATTCACTTCAGACACATCTAGGCGATTGATGGTGAACGATCCTTCTTTAAGAACTTCCAATTTCACTTCATATGGGGATGGATTATAGTGAGGGATGTTGAAAGTATCTAGTTGCTCTTCTTTTATTTTTCCCTGTGCCATACAGTAAAAAGATTCATGTTCATCTTGCCAAATTTATTTATGTTTCAAAAGAGAATTAATGTGTATAGTCTTTAAAACAATATAATTCCAGTCAGAACGTTTTTTAAGATATGAATCAAAGGCCGCAATCCATCTAATTTGAGAATTCAAGCGTGGAAAACATATAGTGTGATATATATTAGGGAAAAATAATTCTGCATTTTAAGAATGTGTACCTGCAAGACCATAGCATTAAGAGCTGCAGCCATAAGCTCCCAGATATAGCAACATTCCTTGGTAGATGGATCGTCGCTTCTTCTTCCCAAAAATGTTAGAACCATACGACCCCCTTCAACTAGTTCCTCAGCTCGACACTTTAGAAAAAGAGTGAAATCTCTTTGAAATTGCTCATAGTAAGCTTTGAAGACATTTAAAGGGCTTGTGCTGGCCATGTAAATGTTTCCCTTGTTATTCTCTACACCCTGGGGAACCTAATTAATCACCAATAAATAACAATTATTTATATACCATTAATTTATTTGTGAGAATTGGGATATAAACAAGTCAACCTATCTATTGATAAAGGAAATAGATCCTCTCATGTGAAAAAAAGCACATAATATGGTGATGTGGGAAGATCACAACCATACAAAGATGAATCGACGGTTATGATTTTATATCTACCTATTTTAATATATTTTTCTTTCTTCCATTTTTACTATTGATCCATCTTTGTATAATTATGATTCTCCATATGATAGGCCTATAAAGAATCAATTCAACCTAATAGATTAAACTAATAAATGATAGGCCTATAATAACTTTTTTATTACTCTAATACACCACTCATGCAAAAGTCTTTTGAGCTTAAAGCATAAATATTACACAACTCTATTTTTTTGCTCTACTTCGTACTTACACCATAGTTTTGAGGGACAGGATCTGCTTACAAACTTTTTTTGCAATTACACTAATGTAGGACCGGTCGTACACTGTGTGATTAATGTAGGACCGGTCCTACATAGTGTAGTTTGTAAGAGTTTGTAAACAAAAAAGTTTGTAAATATAACCTGCCCCTAGTTTCGATACCATGATAAACTATTAATTAACCTAAAAGTTCAAACCGGTAAGTGATGGACCTTTAACGATTTTTATATTACTCTAACACCAATTAGGGACCTACGACTAGATGTGACTTAGTATATTGATTTGTGGAATAAAATAGGTTCCACCTTAAAAAAGACAATTTAAAATGTAGTCAACAAGTCTATTTTTTCAAGGTTTGGCCCACAAATTTACATACAGGCTTAATTGTATTATTTATTTTAGTTAAAATAAAATAAAATAATTATTTAAATAATTTTAAGAAATGAAATAATATTATTTTATTTAATTTTTTTAATTCTTAATTGATATTATTGTAGGTTTAAATAAGTTAACGAGCTTCAAGCTTTTTTAAATTTTAAATATAATTTATGTCATACTTGTAATTTTTTTTTATATTTTGTTCTTAATTATGTTTTTGAGATAAGTCAAATCTTCAATATCTTCGCAAGCTTTAAATCTTTGAACCGGTTATAATACTTGAGTGATACTTATAATTTTTTTACACAAAAGTCACACCTATAATTTAGTTTAACCTAATAGATTAGACTCAAATCCGCGTATTAAATGAACGTACAAATTAATACCGATCAGAATAAGAAAGATATAATTAATATATACGCACCGTAGATAGCCAATGAAGGCTGTAAGAGGAATGGACAAAATGCAAACTTCGAGTAGGAAAAACCCTTCCATAGAAAGAACCGGGAACCCCAGAGACGTAGCATGGACCAACCCCAGTTTCCATTTCAACACGAAGTTTCTCTTTGAATTTTTCAAGGGACTTGAAAATGTTGTTGAAGTCGTTCCCTGGGAGATCATTCATAAAGACCTTGTATTCAGGAGATTTATGTTTCAGCTCTTGGCAAAGCTTCTCAACAGCCTTGACAATTTCTGACACCACAAAGAAAGTGTTTGGTCCAGAAGAGCAACCCAAGTCTGCAATTGCCAAGCTTCTCGGGAATGTGCTGCAGAAGAGGGTGGTTATGCCTTCCTCTATTATGGGCTTTGTCAAAGTAATCACCTTTTGCTGTATAATCAATGACAAAAAATACAGTTAAGTTATTTCTGCTTGACATAAGACATTACCATCTCATTTGTATAACCTTTTTTAGTGTTATAAAATTGGGTAATAATATGAAGACATAAAGCATGATATTAATGTAGTTAGTTATACCTGAACTAAGGAGTTGTTTGCATAGCTTGCTCCTCCAATACCTCCATTCATGTGCAGTACCTGTGCTACTTCCATTCTTGTTTTTTATCTTTGTTTCACTCTTAGCCTTCTGCTTCTCTGCTTCTATTCGTTTAATCAAAGCTATACCACTCCCATATATATAGGCGTGAAAGCTATTTAGAAAAAAAAGTAAAATAAAAAAACGTGTTTTTTATTATATATATTTTTACTTAAAATAACATTTTTCATGGCTATCATCTTCGCAAATCCCACCGACATCGATAGATTCAAAGTGGGTCCCGTGGTACTTCTAAAAAAAAAAAATGGATCCCATGGTCGAATATTCGCTTGGAAAATATTTTTACATCTTTTATCAAATATGAAAAATATTTTTTTGTTATCAAAAAAAAAAAAAGAATATTTTCTAAAGTAAATGTAGATAAGTTATTTACATTCGTTCTCAAAATAACGTCGTTTTATATTAAAAAAATTAAAAAATTATAATGAAAAATACTATTATAACCCTGAAATAAATTATAATTATAAAAATACCTTGATTTCCGCAATAAAATGACATAATTTTGAGCTCACTATAGATAAATTATCTATATTATTTGTAGAAAAAACAAACTAATGAAAAAAAATAACCTATTTACACAATTCTTCTTTCTCTTTGCCCCGACTCACATGAGCCGGGTCCACCAAATATTTGCTCCCTTATAGGAAATTAATTGCATGGTCACTTTCTCTCTACTTCTTCTTTCTTTCTCTCTCCTCTCTCTTCTTATTTCTCTCTGCTCGGCTCACATGAGTCGGGTCCACCAAATTTTGCTCCCTTGTAGAAAATTAATTGTATGATCCCTTTCTCTCTCATCTCTTCTCTCTCTCTGCCCGGCTCACATGAGCCGGGTCTACCAAATATTTGCTTTCTTGTAAGAAATTAATTACATGATCCTTTTCTCTTGAATAAACATTTGGTACTACTATTGTACCTAGATTCAGTGTATTCCATCAATGAGAATATTACACATCAGAGGAGAGAAAAAGAATTTGACAAAAAAAAACGAATTTTAACTGATATGTAATATTTTCATTAATGAAATACATTGAATCTTTAATACAATAGTAGTACTAAAGATTTATTCATTTCTCTTCTTCTCTCTACCCTTGCTCGCATGAGCCGGTCCGCCAAATATTTGATCCCCCTTGTACCGATTTATTCCTTGAAAAGATGAAACACATCGTATGTCAGGAATCGGAATAGTCAAAGCAAGGAAACTTTTTTTGGGGGGGAATTACACGAATCGAACATAATTACACACGTTCTGTTACACACACTCATACCACTAGTGTTCAGCAAGGAAACTTCTAACCAAATTAGTGGATGTGAAAGATTGGTTGAGACTATTTTATATTTAAAATAATTTATGATTAATTTTATTGAAAGAGTATTTTTGAGAAGACAGTGATTATAATTTAAAAAATAAATAATTTTCAAAATGATTAGTTTTTTATTTTATTTTTCATTTTTTGTTTTAAAAAGTATTAATTTTTTTAGGTATTTACATTTTAATTTCTATAACTCTAAATCATAAAGGATTGTTTTTCTTGCAAACTAGTTCCTATAACTTTTATTTATTAAATTATTTAAATAATTGAAAATATAAGAACTAATACTATAAAATTTTATTTAAATCAGAAAAAGTAAAGACACTAAAAAACTTATGGGAAAAATATTTATGCAGTTACTGCAGATAAATTATCTATATTTTTTTTCCAAAACGACGTCATTTTGATATTGAAATCTTAAAAAATTATAAATATAAAAACAATTAAAATCCTGAAATAAATTAAAATTATAAAAATATCATAATTTCTTCTCCAAAACAACATCGTATTGGACTTACTGCATATAACTTATCTGCAATAACTGCAGAAAAAACGAACCCAAAACTTATTATAAAGATCAGATTTACACTATGTATGCAATTATGAAAACAAAATTCTTTCATTCTTATTTTTTTCAATATTATGTGGAAGGGTATCATAGGATGCTACTCCATAACAGTGTCCGTACAATACAGGGGAGAAGGGGGAGGGAAGAGGTTTATACATAGATGAGGGACGGATCAACAAGAATTTGACACGCGTTCCAATAAGAAGCAATTTTGTTGTTTAGTTTGCAGCATTAGTCTATTGATATGACATTGGATCCTCTAATATATTAATTAATATAATTATATTATGCAAAAAAATTATAATTATATAAAATGAATAATAATAAAGAAAAAGAGAAAATATAAAGACATAGATAATTACAAAATTATTATGATTAATTGACATTTATATAATTAAAATTCTTGCATGTTAAATTAAATAAAATATACGAGGATCTGTTTCCATTGATAACTATCCTGTCAACACGGAACTTAATAGTGTGCATGATTGATTCCATGATGCGACATTTTAGCATGTTATTTCAACAATTGTGGCAGATGATTGTACCATAAATAATAATGACCAATTAATTGTTTGGTGCAGTCTGCACAGCTCATGGTATTGACGCAACCCATTGACGTTTGCATTCTACGTCACAATGAGTTTGTTTTTGTACTAAAAAATAAAATAAAATATGAGTTTGTTTAATGTGGCACACATTTTTTGAGACATTGATCGAACTGTACTTTTTGCATAATAATATACTTGAATGTCTTAAATTGTAAAAAAAATTTCAAACTGTCACGGCATCTTTACTGTCATGGCATCTTTAGCGACTATGTGTTGATTGTCCATGGCTGAAAAAGCCTTACAAGTTGGGTTGGTGTTGATTGCCCATGTGTTAATGAAAGGGCCATAGTAGCAAATGTTTCAACGACTTTGGTCCTGTAAAATTTCTGCAATACCTGCACCGTGGACTGCTAGACTAGGCCAAATTTGCTGGCTTTCTCAGGGACTTTGATCCCATGGGCCTGCCAATTTAAAAAAAATAATTCATACTCACTACACAGCACGGCTATTTTGGGCAAATGAGTGATGTGTTTGTCATTTAACCCAAATAGCTACCTAAGGTAGCTACTTTGGTGCAACCCTGTAAGGCTTTTCCAACTTCTGAGAGAGTGATACGTGTTCTGTCCATAGTAACTAAGAATCTCAGTGACTATGGTGTCGTGCCAATTTGAAATAAAATTTATACTCCATGACATTCAGATATATTATTCTCAAAAAGAGAACAATATGATCAATGTCCCCGTATTCTTGTTTTGCAACGGGGTAAACTACGACGCTTTTTCTTTACCAGGTAAAAGCTTTGGATCAACAACATGTAGAAATTTGCAATCTACCACAAAAATGAGTTTGTTGGATTTGGCGGTATTTGATTTACCAGATCTCATTTTGTAAACTAGAGCTACGAAGACATAACTGCGCTCACTGAATATGACCGGCCTATGACGTTCATTTATCGTTGATTTTCTACTGATTTGGTAATTCAAAAAAATTTATTATATTTTTCCTGTATTTATTAATTTTGAGTTTTATTATTTCAGAATCACTTAATTTTTTTTTTATCATAATTCATATCTTTTTTTATTACGTAAGTGTCCTTCTTCATTTGTCATTTTTAATTATTTTTTTCTGATTAAGTTTTTCTATGTATATATACTTTCTTTTAGTTTAATAAAAAAAAAATTAAAAAAGTTTTGCGTGAATGTAAGTTCTTTGAATTCTAAGATCAAAACAAATCTTCAACCTTAACAAGAATCTATAGTACAATTACAAATCACTTTCCAATAGTTATGGAGTATAAAGTTGGCCACATACATGAGCCAAATGCCGTTTGCATTCTCTCTTTAAATCTATATTTTACAATTTATAGAGAGATTATTACGAATGAGTTTTTGGGGTGCAATTCTTAATTGTTTCAGCAAGCATTTGAGTAAAATAAATGTGATTGAAAAAAAATGGATTTCAGGTTTCAAAAGAAGTTGGATTGGTATATACAAAAAAAAAAAAAAAAGAATAAGTTGGATTGGAGTTTCTTTTTTCTTTCTAATTTTTAAATTTCAAATGAGGTTGGAATACATATTTTGATTAGTCAATCTCAAAAAATATGTCAAAATTACATAGAATAGAGAAGATTTAGAGATAACAAAGCTAACTTGAGGTTTTTTTTTCCTAGAAGAAAATATGTCTAGCAGTTTTTGTCTACGGGCCGGTTATACTTACCACTGTAACACCCCGTAGTACTTTGGTTGTTAGCATACATCATATTTAGCGAACACAGCGGAAGACTTTATTTTATTAAATATAAAATCGTCTTATAAAAATATGAGTTAACTTTTTCCAAAAATATTTCTAAAATCATTTCTAAAATTGTTCACATGAGATATTGCGTAAAGGTGATCCTAAAACATACATCTACTAACTATTCTCATTAGCCATTATCTGTACCATTGACTAACCGGATATAATAACAAGTATCATTTCTGCTAGAGTCTCACGGCAGCATAACGGTTGTTTTACGAATATTTGAGTGATAAGAATCTCACTAAATAATACAATCCTAATAGACCCAATTTATATAAACAGACATCTCACAAGTCCCACACAGACTGTGATCCCCTCAGTGGGTTAATACATACATAAGGCTCCATGCCCAAAACTAAACATCAATTACAACATGTTCATATAAAAAACACATGCATCTAAACAAATACATATCCAATACATAATTCTCCATAAGCTCATCAAATACAAGTCATGAGCATTATTACACAATTAACATAATCTCAAAATACATAACTATAGCATGATAAAAACTAAACATACTATCAGATAAATATCCATTGGCACCCAACTAGCCACATGCTTGGTCATTTTCCATGGAGGGTGTAACACCCCGTGTATCCCCGGTAATGTTATCATATTATCGTATTAAGCTGCGCTTAATTAAAAATGCGGAAAATCTTTTTCTTTTCAATATGACGTCATTATACTTAGCCAAGTTGATTACTTAATCAATTTCATAAAATATCGCCTGTATGTAAATTGCAATAAACATCTAACTGAAATACCTCAGAATATAGGTATAAAGTGAGTATCTAAGTCACGACATTACATCACGTAATCC